CAAGGATCGGGGGGGGTGGACGCTGGGGTACGCAAAGTATAAGAAGTTGTGAGGATGTAGGGGGGAGTTTGTGTTTGCACTGGGGTGCATAAGGGGTGAGGAGGTTACAGGTATGTGGAGCGGGAGTGGGAGGGTGCGCGCTGGGGTGTGCAAGGTGCGAGGGCCTGCATGGGGAGGGTGCATCTTCATGCAGATCAAGGTGTCGGGGATGTGTACAAAGGATGGATGGATGTGTTTGTGTGCGTGTGTTGAGGATGTAGGGGGGAGTTTGTGTTTGCACTGGGGTGCATAAGGGGTGAGGAGGTTACAGGTATGTGGAGCGGGAGTGGGAGGGTGCGCGCTGGGGTGTGCAAGGTGCGAGGGCCTGCATGGGGAGGGTGCATCTTCATGCAGATCAAGGTGTCGGGGATGTGTACAAAGGATGGATGGATGTGTTTGTGTGCGTGTGTGGTGTCTGTGGACGTGTCTGTGCACCTGAGGGTGGTGTCCATGTGGTAACGATGGGACTATGTGCATTACTGCCCCGGCGAACAGTGTAAGCACGCTAGCAGGGAAGTGATAGTGGAAAAGTTTGTGCACAGGGCTTGCGTGTGAAGACAGGGGTGCCCAGGGTGCATGTTCTTCCCTGCACACCATGCTCCATTGATGCACTCAGTGGGGCTGGCTGAGAGTGAATGGGAGCAGTATTACTCCTAATTTCCCCAAGGAGGGGGGTTGGGGAGACTTTCTCACCTTCCCTTTCTCTCTTCTGCAGATAAAGCTACAAATCCCCTGAACAAGGACCTGGACTGGGATGGAATCAATGCTTTCTGTGAGCAGCTTAATAAGGAGCTAGAGGGGTAAGAATGTCTCTTCCTTTCCCCAGGCTGCTTTGGGTCACAGGCTCGGGTTGTCATCTGCTGCCTGGTAAAATTCAGTGGGGTTATCCTGAGGGCTGAATAGGCATAAAGTGCCTGAAAGTAGTGTGGAGGGATCCTGGTCCTCTAAAGAACAGGAGGAGAGTTTTCAGTAGGTGGCACGCTTCTACCCAAGGTGGTACAGAGGGCAGCTACACAGCTGCTCTGGAGACGTGCTATGGGGAGCAGCAGAACTGAGATCCTAGGAGTTCAAAGTCCTTTGCCTTGGCGTTGTGGTTGTACTCCCATGCATGGGGTTCCTCTCTGCTGTAGAGACTCCTTAGAGTTTCATGTAGATTTTTCCTTTTTTGGCTCCAACAGCTGTGACAGAGCTGTGCTTTACCCCAGAGAAAGCTGTCTTAGTATAATAAAGAAGGTTCTGATAAGTTTTTGAAGTAGCCTGGGGCCTGATCAGTGCCTTAAACTTGGAACATGCTTTTCACCCTTGGGTACCCAGATGGAAGCACAGGTACCAGCCTTCTCATCACTAACCAGCTAGCTTTTTTCCCCCCACTCCTTCCAGTCCTCCACTTGCTACCCGACTTCTTGCCCACAAGATCCAGTCTCCGCAGGAATGGGAAGCTATCCAGGCCCTCACGGTAAGGGCATCTGCAGGCTATAGAACTAGATGGAGGGCCAGGGTGTGGAGTTGCTTCAGTTTGACCTGAGGAGCAAGGGAAGCTTTGAACTCCTGAGTGCCCCTCTTGCTCTGAGAAAGTCCTAATACATCTGGGCTCTTGGGTGGGAGAGTGGCTGAAGGTGGTTGCACAGGAGTGGAGTGGGTGGCTGCTAGGAAAGGTCTTGATTCTGGGAAGGATCATGGCCTACTGAACACTGTGGTCGAGAGCCTGTTGAAGTCATTGGGAAGCTTTATGTTCCCTTGATCATATTCTGGATCTGTGCTGTGAAACCTGAGTGTTTGTGAGCTCTCATTTTCCACCTCAGCGATGGCTCTACATGCTAAGGATATCCCCTTCCATGGGCTGCTGAGCCACCTCTGCAACAACTGACCCCAAAGAGGAAATTTTCCTTGCTGCCCTGGGAGGGTGATTGCCCCCCCAGGAGGGGAAGTGGGTGTCCCTCCTGGCTGCAGTGAGGATAGCCACGGGCTCCGTGCCTGGCAAGGGGATAGTCAGGGAGGGCTGGCTCCCAAGCCTGCTGACCCTGTGCCGGGCTCACCCAGCCCCTCTCCCCAGGTGCTGGAGTCCTGCATGAAGAGCTGCGGCAAACGCTTCCACGATGAGGTGGGCAAGTTCCGCTTTCTCAATGAGCTCATCAAAGTGGTGTCACCCAAGGTGGGTCCCATGAGATCATGCTGGAGGGAACTAAAGCCTGGTGGCAGGAGGGCTTTGGGAAGAAGTGACTGTGTGGGAAGGCTGGGTATACACTGGGATGTGGTGAGGACAGAACAACACTAGGAAGAGATGTAGTGCTTGTTTTCTGGTGAGTTTTCCACTGAGAAGGTGAGCTTTTACCTCTCTCCTCCAGGCTGATTCTAGATGCAGGAAGCTGAGGCCTAGCTACACCTGATGCAGGTAGTGCTTGTGAGGCTCCTGAGCTCACTGTGTGCCTAGAGTCACTTTACTTATGTCTCCATTGCACCTCATCTGTGCTGCGTGTGCTCAGGAACCTTCTTCTGCCCTGACACTGTGACTACATCTCTCCAGGATGTCCCAACCTGGTTGAGAGATTTAAGAGGGCAAGCCCAGGCCTGGTCAGTGGTGCTCTGGAGAGTCCATCTGAAGCCCTGAAAGTCATTACCTGCTCCTCTGTTGCTGTTCCCACAACACAACAAGCTGTGCATGCTCTCTTCAGTCAGGCCAGTTAGCTCATGTTGCCAGCAAGTTCAGAGTTAAGGGAATATGAACCAAAAAAAACTAGGAAAAACCTTAAGTCTATCAGTCACAGGTTCTGACCTGTGATGATGAACAGCCAGGAACAGTAACATCCTAAAGTCTTCTTGCTAGGTGCCCTAGAGGATGTCTAGGCCACTGATCCAGCACACCTTAGGCCCCTGGTCTCTGGTAGCATATTCACTGTTGTTTCCTCCAGTGCACAGCAGACTCATTGGACAAGGGCAAAGGATGATTGCATGGCAAGAGGAAAGCTGTAGCATTTGAACATCTCACTGCTGGGTGCTGTTCGTCTGGGGCCTGCGCAGCCACCGAGGGTGTCAGGCACTCTGCGCTAGAGAGCGCAGCTGAGAAAGTGCTGGGCCCCAAGGGCTGTTGCCCACGGTCCTTCCCTTCCCAGCCCCGCTGTCTGGTCATTCCTGAAAGGCTGCTTTGCAAAGCACCTCTTGTTGGCAGTACCTTTTCCTTCACAAGGCGACAAAGACCCACCTGAGCCTTCCCTCTTGTCCCTGGGTGTTGCCAAGGGCCTACAGGCCCAGCATTTCTCTCACCTCTTAGGTTTCCTGTGCTGGAAACCAAGCATAGCAGGGGTATGTTGCAAGGGTGTCGTGGGCTTTCCTGCTTGTTTCCTCTTTCCTCGTCCTTGTGCCGTTGGGAACTGTCTCACTTCTCCTGGGGGAGGGGATGAACACACCAGGCTTGCAACAGCTCAGATCAGCTCCAAGCCACCTCTTCCGCTCTTCTTCTTGTAGTATCTTGGCAGTCGGACACCAGAAAAAGTGAAGGCAAAGATCCTGGAGCTGTTGTACAGCTGGACGTTAGGGCTGCCTCATGAGGTGAAGATCTCAGAAGCCTACCAGATGCTGAAGAAACAAGGTGAGAGGCAATGGACTAGTGAGGGAGGGTTGACATAAAGTTCCCCCCCCACCTCCTTTTTTGTCCAGGCAAAGCCTGAAACAGGCTTTTTTTCTTTTTTCCCCCCCCTCCTGTGCCCAGACCTAGCGCATCCATGTCTGAGCAGCAAGGGCGGACAAAGGAACGGGGGATCCTAGCTGCACAGTGTTTGTTGGTTGTGGTCTGAATTGCTATCCCCTCCAACCATATTTCTGGGATGGGGCACCGGAAGGGGTTGAAGCTGAAGGACTATGAGTGCTTTGGCAATAGACTTAGGATTTTTCAGAGGAGGTAGGATATTGATGGGGAGGTCCTTGCCAAGAAAAAGAAATGCAATGGTAACACAATCCAGGATCACGGGTGGCAGGAACAGACCCAAACCCCCTCCGTCCCAGCTGGGTTCGATGGGCCATTGGGGAAGAAACGTCCTACGTGGCAGTGTCGTCCCCCCAGTGGGTGAAGCCTCCTGACCTCTCCATGGGTCTCTGCTGCAGGGATTGTGAAATGTGACCCGAAACTGCCTGACAATGCTCCTTTTCCACCACCTCCCCCTCGGCCCAAGAACATCATCTTTGATGACGAAGAGAAATCCAAGGTAAGGGCCCTGTTCAAGGAGAGAGCCAGAAGGCAGCATCTTCCCCCCCTCCAGGATCTCCTGTCCCCCAGAGGTCTAGAAAGAGTCAAAGCCCCTGTTCCTCATGCCGTGCTTCAGGAAGTGCATCACAGGAATGCTGAGGGCCTGCGCCAAAGTCGGGACTAAGGAAATGGCCGAAGATAAGGCATGTAGGTCTGTTTGACCTCTAGAGCTCTCAGCTGCAGGATGGTGCAAAGGGTGAAGTCCTGACATTAGCCCAACAGGTTCTTGGAGGCTTGCTGGTGTGCTGTCCCCTGGGTGCTAAGTTATCTGGCTGTGGTCTAAATTAATCCAGCCCCACAGGCTGTTACGGTTAGCTCTTCCTCACCCCCACCACTGCAATCCACTTTTTGCCCAACTGCTTATACCCTCCTGTACCCATCCTGTATTGCCTTTCCTTGGGTCACCACACAGATAAACATCTCTGCTTTATTAATGGTGATATGTTTAAGCAAGTTTTGGGCTCCTTTGGCTCTAGTTCTGAAGTAGAGATGTGATCATAGTTTGTTGCATGGGATAATGTTTTGCCTCTGCAGGCCCTTTCCCCAAGGTGAAAGAGGTGTCATGGAGAATGTACAAATGAGGATTTGTAGGTGGCCTGGGGAACTGTTCACTGACGCTAAGGTGTGTGAGGGAAATTGGAGCTCTCCCTGTTTACCAATTACAGCTGCAAAAGAGGTGTGTGAAGAGGTCTGAACAGGAGTCCATTACAGTCCTGTGGCAATTCCTGTGTTAATCCAGCTTTTCTCTTCCTCAGTACTAATATCGCTGTGCTCCCTGGGTCTCCGCAGTGCGTAAATGGCAGGCAGGGCCAGGTTTTGAATGCAGGGGATTTTCAAGCCTCTGTTACCACAGCAGGGGGAAGAAGACCAGCTGTGCTTTTTCTCTCCCTGGTCTCATAGCCCACAAGTGATCCAGCTAGGTTTTCAAGTGGCTGTTGTCATCCCCTGCCTCAGCCAGATTTGGGGTTGCTGGGGACTTCACTGGCTCTAGTATTGACAGACTGACTCCAGCTGCCACCCCCAGCTTGGGCCCAAAGGTGTCTTCTCTTTTGCAGATACTGGCTCCCCTCCTGAAAAGCTCCCATCCTGAGGACCTCCGGGCTGCCAATAAGCTCATCAAGGAGATGGTTCAGGAGGTGTGGCTGGGAAGAAGTTGGGGAGTCATGATCTGGATGGTGATGCTTGTAGCCAGGGGAAAGGGATCAGGGCAGTGAGTCTCTGTCCTCATGCAGGCACGTGGAGCTTCTGCCCAGAACTTTGCAGTAGGTGCCAAAGAGTCTCTGTGCAAATTCTGCTATCCCTTGGCTACTTGGAGAAATGGCTCTGGGCACTTTCTGAGGCACAAGCCCTGCTGCAGCACTAGATCTGCAGCAGATCTACTCCGTCTGGCAAGTGCTGGACCAGAGATGGTCTGGAGTCTTCCACTGCTGTGGGAGCTGTTTTGGGGGCAGTGTTGCTGTGCCTTAGTCCAGGGAGTTGGTGTGTAGGCTGGCCCAGCTTTCCTTCTCCCCAAGCTGTGGACAAGAGCAAAGACACCCCTCCCAATTTGGTTGCCCTCCAGGACCAGAAGCGCATGGAGAAGATCTCCAAGAGGGTGAATGCCATTGAGGAGGTGAACAACAATGTGAAGCTGCTGACAGAGATGGTGACCAACTATAGCAAGGGAGAGACAACAGAGAGCAATGAGGACCTAATGAAGGTGAGGAAAAGCCATCCCAGCCTCTTCCTTGGGCTTAAAAGTGATAAGTGGGTGCAGTCTTTCGCTCCTGCCCTCCCAAGTTCTTCCTGCCTGTTTTGCACCCCCAGCTGAGCTTCCCACTTACCACCTCAGCGTCCCTTTCTCCTCTTCCCCAGGAGCTGTATCAGCGCTGCGAGCGCATGAGGCCCATGCTTTTCCGACTTGCCAGTGACACAGAAGACAATGATGAAGCACTAGGTAAGCAGACCTGGCCCTTCTCCCTCCATCTTCTCCCAGGGAATCTCTGCTTGGGTTGCCCATGGCAAGGCATTTCTCAGCAGCTGCCATTCTGTTTGAGGTGGGTGCTAACTAACTGTAGGTTAGTTAGTCTGTGCTTGCTGCTGGGCAGGGGCATGTGACACCAATCAGCAGTGTTACAGACTTCCTCCACTTCGCTGCGGGAAGAGCATTTGCACTTGCCCTCCTGAGAGTGCTGTGGAGGTGTCAATGCACCCCCATACTTCTTGCAGCAACAATGGCAAAAATGCTATTTGCAGTGAGTTGCTATTAGCTCTCTGGGCCTTGCTCTCAAGGAAGAGAGGGGTGTAAAAGTCACTCTCTTCATTTTCTTCCCTCTCTTCAAACTTACTTCCCACCTATTCCATTTCAGCGGAGATCCTGCAAGCCAATGACAACCTGACGCAGGTGATCAATCTCTACAAGCAGCTTGTGCGGGGAGAAGAGATCAATGGGGAGACTGTGGCTGGTCCCCTTCGAGGTGAGGAGACCTGGGGGATAGGGATGGGAAGATGCAGCACAGGGACCCTGTTGCTGGTTTTCTCTAGCGTAAGAGAAGATTTTGAGAGACATGGAAAGGTGAAACATGCCGGAGGCCAAAGTGATGCTGCTGAGATAAGGAAATGGCTTGTGGAGATGAGTGATGCATGAAGAGAGGGAGTTGAAAGGGAGAGCAGAGGGGGGATTCCCTTTCCCAGGTGTAAGGAAGGATGGGAGCTGGCTCTCCACACGCTGAGAGGACCCAGAGAAAGTTTCTATCTCTCACCCTGTCTCTTTTTTTGCAGGCAGTACCTCAGCGCTTCTGGATCTGTCAGGTCTGGACCTTCCAGCAACAGGCCCTTCCTACCCAGCCTTGCCCACCCTCTCAGGTGGCTCAGCAGTCCCTGTGCCTGACCAAGCCGGCTCTGTCTCCTTGCTGGATGATGAACTCATGTCTTTAGGTGAGAAGACCAGAGCAAAAGTTCTGAGTGAGAGTCTGAGCGGATGGCTTATCCGGTGGAGGAGCATGAATGAGGGACAGCTCTGGGAGAGGCGAATTGTGAAAGACCCAGAGGTGATCCTCACTTAGTGTGAGGTAGAAAGGAGGGAAAAACCCTGATTTGATTCTGAGCTTCAGTTCCCATGGTGTTTTCCTGACTAATCAGGGAAAACCTGCAATGATCTGCTTTCTGCTTTGTTCTCAGAAAACTGACCTGGCAGGTAAATCAAGAGTGATGCAATGGCCATCACCAGATGGGATCACAAGGGTGGGCCACCCCCACCTCCTGGTGTTTACTCCTTGCAGTTGAGGTCAGGAGTTGACAGTAGAGACACAGGACTTGCAGAATGGCTCACGTGGAAGCCTTATGAGGTGCCAATCCCAGAAGGCTCTAGAATCCAATTTTTCTGGCAGCATGTCTGTCTCCTAAGATAGATGATTTGGGTACGGCAGCATGAAGTAGACGTCCTCCAGATGCAGGTGCAAGTGGAGATTGCCAACCCAGTAGTATTCACATCTGTGCCAGTTACATTGGGAACTAGAGTGTGAGAGAAACAACACTTATCATCCTGCCTGCTCCTTCCCATGCAGGAATGGGGCCAGAGGTGGGGAACATATCAGTAGTTCTGCCCTGCTGCTTGTGTGTCCTGCCTGACCGGAGGGATGTCAGTTATGTGTGCCTTATTCAGGCCCCATTAAGTGCCCTTACCAACCTGATAGCAAGGCTTCATATTTGCTTTTCCCTTGGCAGGCCTGAATGACCCGGCACCACCTCCTGCCCAGGCTGGTGACAGCAGTGGCTGGAACAGCTTCCAGGTAACATGGTGGGAGCTATGGAAGCAGGTGGGGAGGGTGGTGGAAGCAACACCTGGAGCAGGTAAGGAGGCATCCCAGATCTGATGGCTATGCTGATATGACTCTGCTTGGGGGGCTCTCCTGTGCACTCTCTCTGCAGTCATCGGACAGCAGCGAGTTTGGCATCGCCCCTGTCACGGCAACGCCACCAGTCAAAGCAGATGCCGGTGCATCCTCCCCGAAACCTTCTTTCACCAGTGGCCTGGATGACCTAGACCTCCTGGGCAAGACTCTGCTGCAACAGTCTCTGCCTCCAGAGTCACAACAAGTGCGGTGGTAAGCAGGAGCAGAGCAGTCTTGCATCTCTGGCCATCTCTTCTGTTTCTGGGGTGCTGGATGCAGGTTCCTGTTCCATTCCTTGCTCTCTTTCTCCCTACAGGGAGAAGCAGCAACCACCTCCACGGCTCACCCTGAGGGATTTGCAGAACAAGAGCAGCTCTGGCACCACAGCCCACGCTCCCAGTGCCCTGCCTGTGCTCCAGAGTGTTTCTCCCAGCCCCCCGCTGCCCCTGGCCTCAGAGCTGCCTGCCCCTGTGACGCTTCCAAAAGCTGCCACCATGCCAACAGGAAGTACTCTGGTCCCGCCGCGGCCTCCTGCCACTACACTGCCCCAGGAGATCACGCTGGCCAACATCACTGTGCCTCTGGAGTCAATCAAACCCAGTGAGTAGGCTGGAAGAATGGAACAAGTTTGGGGGTGATGGACTGTTTGGAAGGGAACCAGACAAATCAGGGAAGAAGCAACTGGAGAGGGTATGAAGAGGGTGGAGCAAACTGTGTGTACAAAGAGGGGAGGAATATGAGGAAACTTCTTGCCTTTTGGATTTTGGGGAGGTTGAAGAGGAGTAGAATCTTCTAGTCCCTTGGGTGGAGTTTGGGTTATAGAGAGGTTGCTGCAGGGCCATTTCCCTCCTGGCTGACTGGTCTGTCCCTGCCTTTCCCACAGGCAGCATCCTCCCTGTGACAGTGTATGATCAACATGGCTTCCGTGTCCTCTTCCACTTCGCTAAAGATGCCCTGCCCGAGAGGCCTGATGTGCTTGTGGTGGTGATTTCTATGCTTAGCACAGCCCCACAGCCAATCCGCAACATTGTCTTTCAATCTGCTGTCCCTAAGGTAAGGGGGCTGCAGGGGCTCAGGGCCCCTGGACTAAGCTGCCATGTGATTCTCCCTTTGTAGGAAAGGCAGGGTGGGTGGAGAGAGCTCTGCGGGGCTGAGAGCGAGTTGTATTGCCCTCAGATTAGCAGGGACCAGCACAATACTTCTCTCTTTAACTAGAGTGTGGAAGTTTCCTAAACACTCGCTGGAAGCAGGGCCTTTGGCGGCCAAGTCCCTCTCTCAAGAAGGTGGGATGCTGTTCTCTTTCCGATGAAAGTGAAGCTGCAGCCTCCCTCGGGCACAGAGCTGCCAGCGTTCAACCCCATTGTCCATCCCAGTGCCATCACACAAGTCCTGCTGCTTGCTAACCCGCAGAAGGTAACAGTGCTATCCCTGGGGCAGAAGCAGGCTGGGCTTGTTGGCTAGGCAAGGTCTGGCTCCCCTTTCACTGAGGGGACCCTGTCCCTATTCCTTATGCTCACTGCAACTTTGCAGACATCTGTCTAGAGCATCTGCGCCTTGTGTCTTTCTGCCCCTGTTCTTGACTGCTTTTCTTTTCTCCTCCTTCTCTAGGAGAAAGTGAGGCTACGATACAAGCTGACCTTTACCATGGGAGAGCAAACCTACAATGAAATGGGGGATGTGGACCAGTTCCCCCCACCAGAGTCCTGGGGAAACCTCTAGAGCCACTCCTTTCAGGCACTACTCTGCAGAGTCCTTGGGAAGCCAGCCCTGCAAGGCTGCAGCACCCTGAGGAGAAGGGGAGGGTGGGGGGGGGGGGGGGGGCTGCTGCTCACACTCTATTCTCCGGATGGCTGAGTGAGGGCCAGAGGGAGCATGCCTGAAGGATGAGAGCAGAGACGCCAGGAGATGTTCATCCAGCGTGACTAGGAGTGGAATTGAAAGCTTACTGTGGGTGAACAGTTGCCTTCCCTGCTCTTCTGAAGGCTTCCCTCCCTCCCCAGTCTGTTCAGCTTCTCTTCTAACCCTGCTTTCCTCCTTTAGGTGCAGTGGGGAACAAGGATGGGGAGTTTTAGCAGACTCAGCCTGGAGCAAGGCCTAGTAAACGAAGATCCTTTTCCTTGTCTGTCCCTTCCACCCTTCCTGACTCTTCAGTTACTTCCTGCTCTGCGGTGCTCCCTCTTGTTAGCAAATGCTGAGCTCAGATGGATTCTCCCCCGCCACCTTGAAGCTGGGTACCAGTGGTTCCCTGTCTGCTGGGGTTGCCCCAGACCTGGCTGTGAAATGAGGCTGAACAGGGACTGCGCTGGGGTCAGTGTCTTTCCGGCACCAGAGAGCAGGTCGCTGTTCTTGCTTGGGTTTGAGGGGGGTAGTCTTCCCATGTCCCCCTCCCTCCAGCTGCAGGCAGAGCTATTGAGCTGGGAGGAGTGCCCTGGGGTTGGGAACCTGTTGGGCTCAGGGCTGGGAAGAGCTTACTCTGTGCCTCCCCGTCTATGTTAGCTCTGTAGTTCCTTGGCTCCTGGCACTGAACCCAGCAGGGAGGAAGTGCAGGCTTTTCCCATATGCTTTATCTATTACAGCAACCGTTTGGGATCGCTGTTGGACTATGGTACCTGTTTGTCCCGTGTGCCATCCCTGAGAGGGGCATGTTTCAAAGGGGCCTTCTTGGAGGTTTAAATCTTCCCACAGCCTCTGACACCTGTCAGACAGAGGGAGAGGAAGCAGCAAATCATCCTACTCCCCCCTGGCTGGGCTGGACAGCTTGGTTAGGAGGGTTTTATGAGGAGTTTTGGGGTTTTTTTAGCTCTTTAATTTTTTTTTTTTTCCTGCAGCTGGGAAAGGGATAGGATAGAGTTGGGGAGAGACTAGACCCCAGCCCATCTCCAGGGGGCACCACTAAGGAACTGCACTGGGAGCCCA